TCTGCTGGTGCTCTTCAACCTTGTCCATTTCAGCTTCCACCAATTTACCTAAATGCGTGCCTGCAGGCAACTTAAGTTCTTGGGGAGTTGGGTTTAAGATTCGAACAGGTATATGCTCATTCATATTTACTAGTACAGAACCAATATGTGCACCATTTTTTAAGGATGCAGGATCCAGTACCCCAACAAGGTGTGCATCAGGTTTGTTGACATATCCATTAAGTACTGTCTCGCTCAGTGGGGGAAGTATGGTGTCAGTATCTACGCTAACTCTTGTGACATGTATCTCACTTGCAGACTCCATGTTTCCAAGCACAAGCTCTCCTCCAACCATTAGATCACCCTGTCTTGTTAAAACAATAGCATCAAGGGCCATTAGCAGGTCAATTCCAATTAGTACCTCATCATGTATGGGCGCAATGCAGACTTTCCAATCAACTGAAGACTTCCCCAAATCAACTCGCACTGTAACATCAGTAACTGCTGCCATCTTGTTGCCACTTTCTGCATTTAAAAGTGTTGTTGTTTTCTTACCGCCAGAATACACTAAACTCCTACTCCTCACAAAGTCTTCTGATAGCACAGTTACTTCTGCCCCAGTATCAATAATTGCATGAGTTTCTTCCCCATTTATTTGCACTGGTACTCTTATTGTTTTCCCACTCTTGGTTCCAATCTTGAATAATTTTTGCTGAGTCTCCTGTTCATTAAAGTGATCATCCTTCTTAGGAGACTGATATGGTGAATTCAAAGTTGGGCAGTTCTTTTGGAAATGGTTCAATCCCCCACACTTGAAACAACCTCTTTTGGGGGATGGTGACCGGCGGGATCTCATTTCTGTTGTTTTCCGCTCTATCAACTCCTTTAATTCCAAAATCGCATCCTTTAATGACTTTTCCTTTGTGTCCATTGAGGAGAGTGATCGCAAGTTTTCGTAAGCATTCCCTTCTGCGTTTCCAATGTTATGGGAATCCTCTTGCCAAGAGACTCTCCTTGAATGTCGCTGAAATTGGACATTTTCACGGCCAATTGTTGCCCTGAAGTTGTGCTGTAACTGTATAACATAATCTAATGCCTCAGATATAGTTTTCGGCATTTTGTTTAGGGCTTCATACCCAATTTTAGAATTTTTGTACCCTTTCAGGAAGGATTCTGCAGCTATTTCTTCTTGGAGCTCAATGTTCACAGAGGGAAATGCTTGTGAAACCAAGCGCCGGACATGCTCTGCGAATTCATCGTCAGACTCTCCCCTTTGTCGCACTTCTTCTAATCTTTTCCTTGCTGTAGCAGGTGGATCTTTTCTATTGAAGCGATCTGACATAAGTTTAAGTAGTTTAGGTAAGTCGCTCTGTACAGAACTCGGTAAGCTGCATAGATATTTTGAAGCCTGCCCCCTCAGACATTCAATGAATCGGTCTAGTTGTTCTTCTGTTGTCCATGCGTAGCGTTGCGCAGCCCTTTTGAAGGGTAGGAGAAATCCTTCCCAATCGCCACTTCCATCAAATATTGGCAACTTCTGTCTTGGCATGTACTCTTGCTTGAAACTTGAAGCTCCCAGGCCTCGACAAGATTCAAAATTGTTAATTGTGTCTAAAAGTGGCTGAAATGGTACGTTGCTTGCTCCTGAAAGAGGAGTTGATGTAGGTTGTCTATTACTTGCACTGTTGCTACCTAAGCCATGTAGTGTGTGCGTGTTTCTCTGCATAACACGTCCTGATGGTAATGAGTCATTTCCATTCATGTTGTTTGGCCTGTGGGGTGTTGAAAACCCAAGCCAATCTTCATCACTTTGTGGTCGCTTTTCCTCCTGATCATGCTGACATAGCCTGGGGCTGTCCCCTCGACTATGCAGCAACCCCGTCTTGTGGTCCTGTTGTGCATACACTTGCCTGGGGCTGTCCCCTCGACTGTGCAGCAATCCAGACATGTGGCCCTGTTGAGCATCGATTTGCCTGGGGCTGTCCCCTCGGCTAAGCGAGTGCTCCAAGACCTGTGTGATCCCTTGAGTCATGTCTAAGAAAATGCTTTCTTGTCTTTTCATCATTTCTTTATGATTTTCTATTGTTTCCCATAGAAGTTTCTCTTGTTTATTTATTACATCCATTTGTCTGTCTATGCTTCTTGACAAAAGTTGCTCTTGATTTCTCATCTTTTGCATTTGTGATTCAAAAGTTTTATCTTGCTTCCCCAACATCAAATTTGTTTCATGTATGTTTAAGGAAAGGTCGCCTAAGGTTCTCTCAACTTTTTCCAACACCCTGACAGTACCATTTTCTACAGACATTTTCAAACTAGCTTCTAACTTATGATCATTGTCATTGTCTGTTGTTAGTGTGTCATCGAGCAAATTGTCACCGGTAGACATAATTCTTGTTTTGTGATTACAGTGTCAGTAATTCTTGTGGGTCAACACTCAAGGTTAACAAATCTGGTGTTGTGTCAATCCAACACTCCTTAATTATGTCCAATTCTAATCGCCTTAGCCACTTTTCCGACAATTTACTATCAGGATGAATTCCGTCTCTTAAGAGATTAAAATTAAAAGATTGTCTTCCACGACCTCTGACCTTTACAATGTCAAGGTGAAATTGGAGGGTGTTACGGCCTAACGATTGATTTAGATCAAAAATTTTCTGGTTAAGGAGTGTTATTTCTTCAACTAGAAACTTATCTGTGGCTTCAAAATATTCAGGGTGGGGATGGCCTAAGTAAGAATTGTAAATTTTTGCCGAGTACACTGGAACTGTAAGGAATTTTATAGAGCCTTTATTGGTGATGACCAAACGTTTTAACCTATGAAATTGCTCCAATATGTGTGTACTCGCTTCACCTACTGAGCTATATCGCAATTCAATTTGCCTTTGCCTGCGATTAGGCCCCTTATGTATTTTTTTTGTAATATCACACACACCTAACCAAACATACACAACAAGTGGCCTGTTTCCCTTAGACAGTTTTTCTAACTCAGGTATTGCCCTATCAATTGCAGTGGCAGTAGGTGACCCTGGATAAGTGAGAAAATGCAGTGGAATATTATATGTGTTGTGATGTGTTTGAAGGCAGTTTCCCAAACTATCTGAAATCAACACAGGCAATTTGTCGATTGGGGAAGAGGGAACTTGAAGTGGGTTTTTGTCTAAAAATTTTGTGATGCTTGACAAACTCATAAATAGCAAAAATTACCCCTCTTGATCTATTGATAAATGTAATGATGATTTTGCAATGAATAACACAAATATTCAGAATGCGGATTCACACAATCTGATACAAAATTTAATAAATACGCAAACAGGCTATCTGGACTTGTCCCGCCAAAATCGTGCAATAACAGAGGAGCGGATTCACACTTCTTTGAAACGCACGTGGTCGAAATTAAACCCGACTGTAAAATATTCAATAAAACAAGTGCAAATTCACGCAAAAACTTAGCTGCATAAATTTACGACACTTCTGACACCAGTGTGGTGCTTCTGGTGTGGGTCCTAAGTGCACCACGAGTTCCGAGCTGCCAAGGAATCAAACAGACGTCCGATACTTTAGAAACTTTTATTAGAACTGACTTATGACGTATACAAAACATTTGCACTCCGAACCCGACGCCGAGCCCGACATTAATACAAATTCACTACAGTATAAATACCAAAATTCGAGGAAATATAGATAATAAAACAGTATTAAGATTTTTAATTTCCATTCTAAAAATACAGAGTATTAATGTGTAAATTAATTACTTTTCCGCAGGGTTTTAAAAATGATAAACCGATTTTTAATTGCACATTTTTGGTTCTGCGCTGCTTTCTTACACCAGACAGTGAAATATATATATGCTAAAAATCCTATTTAAATGGGACGGAAATTTAAATTTGCAAAAGAAAAATAGATATACGAGGGTTGTCCTAAAATGTCGTAGACAATGTTAATAACTTTTTTAACACATGACCAATACAAACCAAATTTTGCATAGACATAATACATTCAATGTTCTTTAAAATTGTGAATTCTATAATATATATCTTTCATATTTATTATATTAGGACGATTTATATGAAGGCCGATATGGGCTGTCATCATACGACCAAAATTCGGAATAATTTACGCATATAACTATTACATGTACATTTGTTTTTATTTCTTTGGTATTATGTAAAAGATTGATCTAAAATTTCAATAACTGAAACCAGAATCAAAATCTTAATAATATGTCAAATTTTCATACACTGAGCACATTTGTAAATAGCTTTAGTAACAGACGACTGGTGGCATGATTTTCAAAGTGTTGTTCGAATTGAGATTGATGAAAATGACGTCGTTGAACGCGTACCCGGCGAACGGAAATGTAATAAATTGTTTTTAGTATGTTTTATATTCATCAGAGACAGGGGAAAGGAGTGGCGAAAGGACATTACACACTACATTTTAATAAAGTAAAGAAAAGTTGTTTTTTATAGTATGAGATTTAAAGAGTTTTTCCTCTATATCGAAAAAAAGTTATTGCATGTAAAGTTGAGTACTGATTCTTTAACACAGACATTTGGAAATGTTCTGGGTCATGAACGTCGTCAAGCAAGGTGTATTCTCCGTGTCTCAAATGTAGGGTGATCTTTCAACTAATTCAATTTTGACTAAAACTCTTGTTTCAAAAAACGGACAGTAGTGAATTTGAAATATTCCCTTAATCAAGAGTTGTTTTTCACTATAACAAATATTCATTTAGATGTTAATAGCCTCATGTGAAGCAGAAAAAGGGACCATGTCATTGTGAGAGACGTAAATTACGCTTGCTTTCGTAGGTGCGCCGATGTACACTTACACGTTTTCTTTATTTTTTCACAGTTTTCTCATTAAATGTGGTATCGTCATGAAACTTGAAATACATGATCATAAAATGTCACTCTTTGCTATGACAAGGAAAGAAATTTGATTTAGCAAAGAGAAAATAAAATATGTTCCCTGTCTATGATTTTATGGGACACCCCTCGTATTTTTAAGGAAAACATTACCTTTGCTTTTGGGATCTGTTGAGAAGAGGCTTGATATATTCCAACTAGTCTCTGGCACATCGTCTGTTGTCCATCCTATTTCTTCTTTTTCTTCCTTAGACAATTCATTCACGGTTTCCCAAAGCATCTCTACAAAAACCTCTAACAAATCAGAATTTTAAATATGTTCCGCATTACCTAAAACGAAACTTGAGTGTTGATTTTCATTGCTGCTGTAAATGTTAATGGATTGGAGGTTTTTATGGCTAGTTATCATCATGATTTGATTTGAAGGTACATTGTTTTTGCTCAATTTTTGCACTATATTTTTTCCAGTGAGTGTTGATATATCATTCTGTTGTTACTATTTTATAATTAAGCAATCCATAAAAACAACACTCTCCTGAATAACTGTGACCGGTCTTTGTTTACAATGTCTTGCTTCTGTTTTGTATTGTTTTATGGACTTATGATGATAATGTAGATAGTGTTGAAAATCTTTCCAGTCCAAAGTGTAACAACGTTAATGTAATAGGAAAATTTAACAATACACAGAGACGTACGCGTGGTCATGAGCATTTAATATTTTTTATCTTTCATTTTTTAACTTTATGTTAACTCTTAATTTAATTTAGTATTGATCAGTTATTGATTAATCCTTTATTTTTTACTACATACAAGTAAAAAACAAGCTTAATGTTTGTTTTACTTTATGATGCATACTGATGGAAATACTTCATGCTTGTTTGTAGTTTGATACTGTAAATGTATTAAGCTTTTTACGTCAAATCCTATTGTGACGTCAACAAACCCGCGATCTACCTTAACATTTAATGAAAGACAATCAAAAACAAGACAAGGAATAAATCCAAGAGATCTGATGTTTGTGTAGTCATACCCAAAATGTGGGCAAATACTTGCGCGCCAGATGGATGTTTAGTTGCTATTTACAAACTTTTTTCAGAAATAAGACCCAATGATTTTTTAAAACCTGATGATCCATTTTATTTAGCTACGCATACTCAGCAACACGCAATGTCAGTCAAAGAGCAATGGTTTAAACGACCTCCGGTTGGCGTCAAAAAATTAGCATCTTTAATGAAAAGAAAGGCAAATGCAGCTGATATTGGTGGAGACAAAAAAAACTCACTGGAAAAAATCTAGTGCAAAAATTAAGCAAAAACAATGTACCTTCAAATCAAATCATGCAGATAACTAGCCATAAAAACCTCCAATCTATTAACATTTACAGCAGCATCAATGAAAATCAACTTAAAAGTATATCTGGCATCCTTTCGAACTCCGCACCTCCTGTAAACAACCCCGGATCCGCCACATTCAATTGGACACAAAACAGCTGTACGAAATATCACAACATCAAACACTGGAAGTTATATGATTATTAATGTTTCAGGGGCATTCAAAACTTCTTGACTAGAGACATGCACGACGGAAAAAAAAATTGTAATCATATATGAATGTTCAAACAAAACACCACAGAAAAGGCAGCATGTTATCTTTGACAAGGAATCGGATGACTGAGCTGAAGTCAATAATTATTGTAAATGACTTACATCGTCAAATTTCACATTATTTGATAAATTTTAACAAATTTTTTATTCATGGATTTAAAAAAAATAAATGCTTTTTTTCTTTATTTTTGTACGAACTATTTCATACATCGTAATATGATATTATTTATTACGTTATTTGGTCAGGAGTAACCGAAAGGGAACTTTGAATTAGAAACAAAGACAAAATACACATTTATAGTGAAAAAAAATATGTGATAAAAAGGATCTCTTATGGTTTGTGCTTTTATCCAACACTTTGTGTTTTTTCTGTCCCCTCGCCAAGGCTCAGGGATAGAAAACACATAACGAGTTGGATAAAAATCACAAACCATGGGAGATCCTATATTTATCATTGAGTCTAATGCTGACTGACGTCATCATTTCCTAAGTTCTTTTGTTCTTTTCATACTAAATGTTAGTCCATTATTTATACACTGAATTGACGACGGATTTTTTTGCTATTTCCTGATAATGGCAGGGGAAGCGGCGGCCAGGGGATGCCCCTACCTCCATGACAACTGCTCCCACCTCCTCTGATGTTTTAAAGGTCTGTGTTTGCCTTGCTTCTATTTTGAATTGTTTTATGAACTTTGATTTTAATTTATATTCCTTATATCCATGTCCTCCATGTTTTTTTCTTAAATAAGGGTTCCTATATAAAAGTATTGTATGAAGGAAATGGAGATAACGTACAGTATTCCATCTCAAAGTCAATAAAACAATACAAACTAAGAGCAGATCAAACACGGACCCCCGAAACATCAGAGGTGGGATCAGATGCCACGGAGCATTTTTAATACTTGAAAAAAGAAATCGAACAAATTTCATGGACTTGAAAAAAGTAATTAGTAATTAATTACAAATATTTTGAAATGCTTATACAATCATCACAAAGTATCTCATTTACTGAAAAATGACGAAATAATCGAATGGAAAATTGAAATCAAGGTATTCAATCCCTGATAGCAAAAGAATCAAAGAAATTGAAGATGTGTTAGTGTTGAATACTCGGTTTATTCAGACATAATTCTCATTTATTACTATATATTAGCGAGTAAGGATTGAATGTATCCTAATTTAAATCCATGAGTTCAGGTAACTTCTCTTTAATTAAAATTAATTATTAAAATCAATTTTAAAATACTTATCTGGTAAAAAAGAAATGTTTTAATTTCTATTTTTAAAGTTTTAATGCATCTTTCGAGCAGAGTGTTTAATGATATTCATTATGTTTGATCTTTTGCTTTAAAACTAAAATAAAAAGGCTTTTCCCCATAGACATGCAATCTTTGTTAATTAATTACTGCTTAGCTAATGATGTTTTTTTTTTAACTTTTCCTTGGGGAATCCTTTTAAGCTGTAAAATGCTTTAATATAATGTCACATGATAATATATTTGATAAATATTTAAGGGAAGAAAATTAGTCCAATTTGGAATTGAAATCTTTAATAGTCAAATTCAGAAAATTCTTCTAGTGATAGAAATATTCCGATAGTCAAATCAAAATATAATAAAGTGTCGTACGTTTTTGTTTTTTCTCTCTCTGTAAATCTCAAAATCGGTGATAAATATTTAATTTAACAAGCTATTAAATGCATGCACAATCAATCAATCTGAAAAAAAAATATTTTGGTCAAAAGCCTTTCTAATATAAACAAGAGAATAAAATGTTATTTTAAAACTTATTTTTACAGCTCAAGTATAGATGTCATTATTGTTATGTCAATCTAACACATCCGATAGTGCTTATATATATATATATATATTTTTTTTTTTTATATATAATTTGAACAATAAGAACAGAAAAAAATATTATTTACACCTTTTCTGGAAAAACCTAGATATAATAAATTTTGTCGAAACCGCAGGATATTTTAGCTTTTGAAAGACACCGTTTTAAAATCATTTTACATTATTTATTTAATGATATGCCCCTGGTTAAAGAAATTTATTTATAAAGATTTAACTTTTTAAATGAAATTGTTTTCATATCATTTTACTAATTTTATAGATAGATTATCTACAACGATCTTGGACACAGGAACAGGTGCCCGTAGCTTATAATTGTCGTCATCACGATAAGAGATGTGTAATTTATCAGCTTTTCCCAAAAATCCGCGCAATTAACATAGAATATACAATAAATATATACCAGATATATACACATTGCAGCTCATCGATACAGCAGGTAGGCCTTTCAACTAATTTTTCAAGTTGTACATATGGTAAAAAATCATTTCAGATATTGATTTATAGGTACATGGAATTATCAAAAAAGATAATAAATTAGGCACACCTTTAATCAAATAATTTTAAAGTTTAATTATTAATAGTTGACTACTTCGATATTGTGTTTTAAGGACAGACAACTCAGGTGCGTAAAACGACCAACTAAGTGCCGATTTATGACTTATCGTTTTTAGGAATGACATATAGGCTCCTTTTCCATTGGTATTGTTATGTACACAAAAGGATAACCTATTCCTTAAATTGTTTTTATACAAAAGTGTTGACCAAAAGAATGTGAATGTCTTCACTTTACCTGAAATAACAGGGTCAAATGAATGGGGAACAGATTATTCAACATTTAAGCTCTCATGGACGATTATTATGAAGAAGAAAATATAATGTCATGTTTTTTGTACACACACTTTTGCGCTTCCTATAAAAACATATACATATTTACAAGTAAATGCTATAATTAATTATCTTATTTGTGTTACTTACCATGATGAAGAACGACCAGGTATAAAAATTGAATTAGGTTAGAATTAAACGGAAGGTAGACTTAAATTTTTATTTTAATTTAAAAATTTACTTATATGTAAATAAACGGTTTCCGCAACTGTATAGTAAATAAGTTTAACATTAGTGCTAAATTTTGACAGCAAAGAAACACTTGGGAAATGCTAAAAACTGACTTGTGGATAAACCGTTCTATACCTGGGACTTGCTCTAAGCAAGTTAAGCAACTTATTATCATTCATAACAGCGAACCCTAGCGGCACTTGAAAGACTGTTTTAATCCGTGTTTTAATTTTGTGTCAATATTAGAGGGATAGATAGGGGGTAATTTTATCGACCAATCAGAAGAGATACTTTTGTTTTGTCTTCATGTAATATGTTACACAGGGGAGATTAACTTATGTGTTGTACAAATTTTCATTTTTTTTTCAAGAGTGATCTCCACTTTATCTTATGTATCTTTTGATTATCTGTCGACATTTATACATGTATAATAAATGACAAAGAGCTTGAGTCAGAAAGTACACAAATTCGCCTGATTTCAAAATAGGACAATTTTACCTCTAGGTATATCTATAGACTGTATATTTTTTCAAACCAATTTTCTTTTTTCAATATCTCTTTTATATTTTCTGTAAGAGGTCTTCAAAATAGCATATGTATATGGCCGAATTTCGTACATTTTACGGAACGTCATAATGACGTTGTGAATTTCAACACATCTGAGTTCTCATAAATAAAGTGTAAATATTTATTAATTGATGAGAATTTAACAAAAATGTATATTACAACATATTACAGATAGTACTTTGATATTTTGTTAATAAAAG